GGAAGATTCTAAGCCCCAAATCTTGTGATTTAACAAGAAAGGAAGAGAATTCATCAAGATCTCACCGGGTTTTCAAGGGGTAGAGAGTCGGTGGCCTAGGGGGGTTTTCGGGAGGAAGGATCGGGAAGAAGGAGAAGATAAGGAAGAGCAAAACACGTGGCTGAGGAGAGAAATATCAGCCTTGATCCTTATCCTAATTTCCTTTCTTTTTAGTCCCTCCACTTCTAAAATTTGACTATTAAGCCCCTCAATACTATTTCTCATCAAATAAGTCCCTCAATTTAATGCTAAAATACCCCAAAATTTTGGGATATTACAATGACTCTGTCATTACTTTTTATTTCGGCTCTGGCCACTATGACTCCCGTCATTACTTTTTATTTTAGCTCTGGCCACTATGACTTTAGTCATTACTTTTTATCACGGCTTCGGCCACTGACTTTGTTCATCATTTCTCACTACGGCTCTGGCCACTACGACTTCGGTCATTATTTTTTATTACTTGTTATTACTTTTTTACATTGACTCCGGTCATTCTTTTACCACGACTATGGCCACAATTACTCTGGTCACATTTTATTTTGGGCATGACAAACATGACGCCCTATCACATATTTCACTATTAGCTGCGGCTATACACACATTTGAGTTACAGATTTTTATTTTTATTTCCATTTTTACTTATGTAACTCATCTTTAATATTTGTATCTCCTTTCCTTTCTATTTATGCACTACTCACATTACCTCTAACAACATCATTCACAAGGGAATGACTTCGGGGGGGAATAGTGTAAGGACAGGTCCAAGGTGCCCAACCTCGAACGAATGGCAGTAATTCCTTTATAACTAGAGTGAAAGATAAATCCAAAACGTCCCGCTCAAACAGTTGCATGACAGTGACAATAGGCATGCCCACACCTAATTCCTTATGACAAGCTGCACAGCAGTTACGATGGGCATTCTCGTATTTGAATATCTCTCAATTTCCCGGTCCCGAAATAACCGTCTGGAAGGACACGTCAGACCTCAATTATCTTGCTTGGCATGCCACGTGGGTTCCTCATTGGAACCTATAAATACCCTCCAGGGGCCACGTCAAAAAGGTAATTGAAACCAACCCTAAGCTCCTTTTATCTCTATTCTAAAGGTAGCCCCGATTATTGCTGACTTAAGCATCGAAGTGTCTACCCCGAGTTCAACCTCGGGGCTTTGCAGGTCAATCCGGAGTGCAGATGTGGACTAAAGAAGGACTTCTGGTTTGGTGCAATTACATTTGGTTCCTTACAGTTTTGGTTTCTCACAAGCTTTATAATATATATGTTTTTTTTTTTTTTTTTTAACATTGAAGGATAAGCTACATACTAGGGGATGATCTCTCCATTTCCAAACCCTTCTTACGATCTTAAAATTTGAACTTGAATCTTTAACATAAAAAGAGAGTATGGATTTATTTATATACAAGTTTTACACGCTATATTTATATTAAATCTCAACAATTTATCTCTTTACTTTCAATGGTTGAGATTTATTCAATCATTTATCTCTTTACTTTCAATGGTTGAGATTTATTCACATTTATATATGAAAAAATGAATATCAACCAATATTACAAAAAATTAGGCAAGAATACAGACTAAAATACTCCAAAATTACATTATTTTAATAAAGTTTTACTGAAAAAGACTAAAATATCATAATTTTTAAAGCAAGAATGAGGTTGTTTTAGTCTTTTATTATGGTATTTTATTAAAATAAAATAATTTTAGAATATTTTTCTACCTAATTTTTTGCAATACAGACCAATAACCGTTAATCTTATATATATAAAAGAAAGTTTGCATCAATCTTGACTCCCTAAAAAAAAAAAATTGTTCCAACCTTAAATGACATCATTTTATTTTTTTTAAATCCAATTTAAAATTCAAAAATTCAATATATTAAATGTTAATTCATACATTTGGTAATGAAAATCTAATTCAAAATTCAAAAATTCATCATATTAAATGTTAATATATAAATTTTAAAAAAATTATATTAAAATATATAGCTAGCTTTCAAATCTAGGTATCAACATTTAATAAGGTAAATTTTATAATTTTGAATTAAATTTTAATTAAATGAAATGACATCATTTAAGGTTAAAACTTAAATTTTTTTTTAGAAATCGTGATTGATATACATTTTTCTTTTATGTATATGAGCAATGTTTCAAAACTCAATCCCACAATCGACTCATATTGGTCACAAGTGTAGTTCAACTAGTTGTATTGGTCTAACTAACCAAGCTAGTTGGTCAACTTAATAAATGCTATTTAATTTATTTGATTAAATTTAAAATATTTTTACTTTAATTGTTTTTATTTTAAAAATTGGCTGAAATTATTTTTATGTTTATTGATCAAAGTAATTATTAATTTTTAAAACTTTATTTTCAAATTTTATTAATTTAAAATTAATGCATGTTTGGTAAAATTTCTTGGAATAACTTTTTAAGTCTAAAAGTATATAAGACGTACCAAACACCTATATCTTTCGTATCAACTTTTACTGTTGAGAAGTTCAATCTAGTTTCTTGCTTTTGAAGGGCTTGTTTAGATCAGTTTCTAAGAGTTTCAGCTTTTAGATACTATTTATGTGTTATAAATTAAAATTTTTCTCTTAAAAATTTACATTTTTAAATATTTTTTTAACCTCAAAAAACTCTTAAACAGTAAAAGTTTAAAAGTTTTAAATCTAAATTTTTTGTAAACTTTCTTTTTACTCACTTTTTTATATTTTTAAAAGTAAAAACTCTATTTTACTTTTAATAAAAATTTAAATTTACCGATCATAATAATACTAAAAAAATAAAAGTTTTCACAAGCCACGCAAAAAAGCTCGAAATTTGTTGCTTTTGCGGGTGCTTCTCAGCTACTTCAATGAAAATTGCTTGATGTTCCCATTTTACCCTCATATTTTGTCAAATTACAAGAAAACCACTATATAATAGAAGATCATTTATACTATCTAACCAAAAATCCCTGAGCAGTGCTAAAGGGCACTCGCCTTCTGCATTCTCCAGCCAACACATGATTTTTTTTTGGGCCACGTAAGCTTAACCGAATAACGTGGCCGAATGACAGTGGAATTGTTCGCTGGAGAGTGCAATTGGCGAGTGCCCCTAGCATTGCTCAAAATCCCTAAATTTTTTCTGCAGTCCGCAACTTCCCCTCCAACTTTCTCCTATCACCATCGTGTTTTAGTTGTAAGCAAAGATGGATGCCTGTTATAGACTCTTCAGCAATGACTAGTTTTGTAACTAACTAAAGTATTAAGAGGTAGACTTGAGAATACCATGTGGCGGAGCAGGGGAACGGAAGCTACCGTCCCGAATAAGCACCACGAGAGTTTGAGAATGGGAGTTGTCGTTGCCGGAGAAGAGTTGCGAGATTGGAGGTGCCGTCACCGGATTTTTTTTTTAGAGAACAACAGTATCTTAGATCTAGGGATTTGGATTTTAGGGAAGAGGGGTTTCGGCAGAAGGTTAGTCTCTGCTTCGTATTTTATTTAATATTATAAAAATGCCATCGAAATTCCAGAATGTCGATTAAGATTTGAGTGGATCTCCATTTTTCCCGATTCCACTCTGATCACATCTAATATCTGCTCTGGGATGATGTTGCTTAGCCAAGTCAGACATTGTTATGCTCCATAAGGCATCCTCTTTGAAGCTTTTTCCATTCTTCATTAAAGAGTTAAATTGGCAATCTCTTTGGGAGTCTGATCTAGCTATTCCGAGGATGCCTTTTGTAGAAGCATTTCTCTGATGATAATCTTGGGATTGGTTGCTCCTGACTAGCGTTTTATGTTTTTATTCCTTGTGTTCTTTATCCTTTTTGCTTAGTCATGATTCATCATATTCACTAAGGCTTATTTCAGAGAATATTTATTACTGTGGCATGGTTGCAACTTGCAAACTTGCAGATTTTGTGATGCCTAAGCCTTCTTTCTCTTCATCACGAGGATGAAATTAATGAAAAGTAAAAAGAAGTAACTCACTCTCTTAGGACTACATTTTTGTGTAAGATGAGCCAGTCAATATCCATATCCAGTTACAATTTCCATTTTAAGAATTATATGTACTAGGAAAATGGTCCTTACTGAGATGTGAATTTTATTTAGATTGATAGTCACTTAATTCTTTTGTTTTCAGTTGTCATCAATTATGGTTAATTTTCTTGTGGAGGGTAACAAGCTAATACAGAGTTGTAAAGAAGGTGTGATTTTTAGAACTTTGAAGCTCCTCTTTTGGGGATTTCCGTTACAGGGTTAGTTTTTTGTTTTCCATTTTCTCGTCTTTTATCATTTCTTACTGATATTAGAGATTCATTAAGAACAACATTAGCAATCAACTATCTTGAGCAATATTTTTTGTGATAGTGACTTTGTACAGTTTTGTTGTGAAAGGGGGTAGGGGGATGTTTCTCATTCTTCCTGACAAACAAGCATATAAGGGTTTGATGTGAAATTGTTAAGGGTGTGTAGTGGAATTCTGTCGGTAATTTTCTTTATTGATTTTGTTAACGCTGAGCAAATGATTCAATTCTTATGGCTTCATTTATGCTGTGGTTCAATTTACTCTTGGCAGATGATAGCTCTTGGTAGTGGCTATATTGGAGATCTTTCTAAAAGATGCAGCAAGAAAAGCCTCTGGTCAGTTCTCTACACTCAAGTAATAACGTAGGCAATGATGAATACATATTAGCTTCTTCTTAGTCATAGAATCATATTGTGTCCTATTGGTTGATTTTTTTTTAATAAGATTCTGTATGTCATAAATCTGCAAGGCAATGGGTGCGTGTGCACTTAATGTTTACTCAACTATTATTTATGGGCTATATGTTCCTAATTGGCAATTCATTGTACTTAACAGAAAGAGTGCTAACTATGGAAAGATTTTCACTATAAACCCTTTGTTGCCCTTATCTTATGCTACAGAACCTGAACTTCTCATTACATGAAAGCTACCTGTTTGATTTTGAAATGCTCTCTGGACATGGTTAACACTTTATTCATCAATTTATTAAGACGTGACAGAATCACTATATTTAACGATTGGGGTAAAGGTATTTATAACAAGAAACAGGATCTAGTGAGATTTAAGTCTATTATTATGAGTATTAGACAGCTTTGTAGTATCCATCCTAAATTTTCGTTCTCTTCTGTTTCTAGGAAAGGAAATCAGGTTGGAGACTGGGTGACTCGTTTATCTCTTCAAGGGCAATGTCCTTCATATTAGGCACGTAGGCCTCCTAATATTTTGTTTTCTTTGCTAATTCGGAATGGTAGTGTACTTGATGGAAATTATACTTAAATACTGTATATAATTTCCAATTTCTCAAAAAAAAAAAAAAAAGCCCAACAACATAGGCATGATATTCTAATATTAAATTATGATATTGACCTATTCTAATGTTACTTTAAGGTGAAATTTTTTTTCATTCTAGTTATAATGTAGCATGTTTTGATTTTTAATATTAAAATATAACTATCTATTTTGTATTTATATTTTAAAATATGAAGAATTAATTTTTAATCAACCTTAAAATAATTCAAAAATTAAAATTATATGAAAACATAAAATAAAAAGGGGAGTGGGAGTAGTGTTTCAATAAGTGAAAAATTTTTATCTCAATTATTTTAACATTACATTGGATTAAAAGATTTTTTATAAAAAAATTTACTAAATAACTTTTTATTTTAAAATTATTTTTATAAAAAATTTTATCAACCATTTTTAACTTTTCAAAAACAACTTTTATAAGAGATTTTTTTGAGCAAGATTTTTATTAAAAACTCCGGTTACACTAAATAGGCTCTTAATTTCATTCATTAAATTTATTAAAATATATAACATATTTTTTTAATAGGCATTCAAAACATTAATATCATATGAATTATAAAATTATTTTTTCCTTCTATTAATTTTATTTTTATAATTGCTTGAGATTAGTTTTAATTTTAAATTAATTTAATTTAATTTAATTTTAAAAAGATTTCATTTATTTTATTATCTAAAGTAATAATTGATTTTATTTCCAGAAGTTTTAATTTTAAAATTGATTGCACTTAATTTTAATTTTAAATTAATTTCATTCATTTCATTATATTAAGTAGTTATCTATTTTATTTTCAAAATCAAATTGATTTGATTTTAAATTAAAATCACTCTCTATTTTGAAATAATAATTTAATTTCAAATTACATTTAAATTAATTTATAAATTTTCATTCATTACTTATAATTTGACTTTAAATAGATTTTACAATTTATTTATTATATTTTTATTAATTAAATAAATAGAAATATAAAAATTAAAGGAAAATGAAAAAAATGTAAAAAAGTAAATTAAAAAAAAAAGGATTGAATTGATTTGATTTTGGGTCAACTAGGTTGACTAGGTTTGGCTTGGTTAGGTTGGGTCTAGGTAGATTTTGACCAAATTTAACTTCAAATAGGTCATTATCATAACCCAACTTATTTTTAAAATTGAGTTTAATTCAACTAGTTGAACCAACTAGGCAAGTTGGGTTTCAAAACAATATATATGAGTAAGAATTTATTTACACACAAATCTTATATATTATACTAATACAAAATTTTGATTATTCATTTCTCTACTTTTAATAATTGAAGCCTATCATGACTTAGGGTAAAAAAGATAATTGTCTTTCATAAATATGGCAAAAAGTGCAAAGATGAATTTTTTATCTAAAAAATCGTGATAAATCTTAACCATTATAAATAAAAAGATAAATGATTAAGATTTTGTTAAGTATAACACATAAGACGTGTGTGTGTGTGTATATATATAAAAGGAAGGATTTACTTACAACAATTCTTACACATTATATTTATACAAAATCTTAACAACTCATTTCTCTACTTTTAATGGTTGAGATTTATCATTATTTTTTAGATGAAAAAGATAATTATGTGAATAAATCTTAACTATTAAAAATGAAAAAAATAAATGGTTAAAATTTTGTAGAAATATGATGTATAAAACTTGTGTGTAAGTGAATCCTTATTATATATATAATAGGAGCTTTGTTTTATACTCACTTCCTTCCAATTTAGTTGTTCAATTTACTAAATTTGGATATTCCATTTTATTTATTCACTTTCCATTTTCAATCACCTCTTCTATTAAAACAATGTACCACACCACACGTTCTGCAGCATAATTAACAATATTTAGTTAATGATTAGCATTAAGAATTTTGGTGCAACAATGCATGAGTGCAAATGTTTCCAAGTATTAATTATAATTTGTTATGAATAATTGGAGATATGAATATACAATTTGTTATGGTTCATTTAATGTTTGGCTAAGTTTGTGGTTGGAGTAATGTTAAATAGTACTGT